CTCCTACCTGTCGTCCTCCTCCTTGTCCTTTACTCTCCTTTAAATTCTTTTTCACCGTTTCATCTTTCTATTCTTCAGTAAGATTTCAGTTGGCATCTTCAGTGCACACATGTAAATTGTATCCTTATATGAGTACTTCAACATTTAGCACGTCTTTTTGGGTTAAACAAACAAACAAACAAACAAACAAACAAACGAACAAACAAAAAGAATAACCAGAATGACAAACAAAAGTCCCTATGGCCTTTTCCTTATTTGTGCATACAGTCGAACAGATTTCTGACATTGTTTTAAAGTCCAGCTATCTGAACAAAGGAAGAACTAGAAAAACTAAATTATTTCCTGTTGTTATGTGCAGTTAACAATGCAAGCAGTGATGGGGCTGGTTTTTAAAAAAGTGAATCTGGTGGGTTTTTTAAAGTGCTCGTTTTGGTTTTTGCTGCTAGCTGTGCTTTCATTGCCATCAGTTCATTTCCTTTCACCTTGGTAGCGCTAACAGCCGAGGAACACAATGAGCGGAACTGATGGCGTAGATTGAATGTTCCCATCAAATGGATACCCAGAATCAATAAAACAAACGAAAACAATTATGCAGAGCAGACAGACCACTTATTTCTTAATTCAGGTTGAACGAAAAATGATGTTATAATAAATATATTATGTGCTTTCATCCTTTTCAGGCGCTCCCACTAAGGTAGTCGTTTACCTTTTGTCATGATCCTAACCTAAGGGTTCGTTCAAGCGATGAAAGACAAATGAAAAACTGCAGTTTTTTTCTTTTATTTGAAAGGTTGGGGGGGTGCACAACAAATCGGTCTACGGCACGGAGTCGTTACGCAAACACACCCTGTAATGAGCGCTAGACAGATCTGTTTGTCCAGTCGGATGCCAGATCAGGAATGTTGGTTTCTTTTGCCCAGTTGGAAGCGGTGTATGTAGTTCCTCCCTAGCATTAAGAATGATGGTGGCCTAAGATAAATCGGCTTTGCTGCAGATGATCGAATACGATCCAAAATGATTGACAAAACCGCAAATCCTGAGTTCTGCTTGATTTCGGAACAGATACCCGACTGCCGTTCATCCAAGCAACGTCCAGCCTTATCATGGGGCGATCAGTTGAATAACCATATCTGCGTACGTAATCTTAAGTTGGAGAGCAAGTCAGTCCTCCCAAAATAGGCATCTACACATGATGAGTTTTCTATAATTTCTTATCCACTCTAAAAACAGATATATTGTACAATATCCTCATTATGTTGCTTGTTTTTTGTCATCCATTCAACCCCCCCCCCCCATCCACACCACACCATTCTCCTATAAATCAAGTACCATATCTGCGACAGACATCAGTGATCATGATGCTCTTAAAAAGCTACAATATCCAGATCTCTCGGGGTCACCAATCTGTTTAGGCTTTCCAAGTAAGTTGCTCTGCTTCTAAACCTGCCTCGATTGCCTTCAATTTTACCAGTACCAGTTTGTTGTTGAAAACCCTTAAGTCTATTAAAGCATCCCGGAAACGTAGCTTTAAGCAACTGGAAATCCTATTTGGAATCAGCTATTAAAACTGTGTTGCCGAATTATCTGATGCTATCACTATTTATTACGCCATTTTATTTTGAGGTCTGGATATTCTTCTATATTTCTAAATATTGTGTCGATGTATATTATGTTAAAGAGGTCTGGTGACATAATATATCCTTGCCGTATTCCTTTTTTAATCCGTTATATTTGCTGTGTGTTCCATCAATACTCACCGCAGTGTTTTGGTTTCAGTGCAAATTTCTAATAATATCATAGATATTTTCCATCGAGTTTAGTTCTGTTAGTATTATAAATAGCTCATCATGTCTCATTTTATCAAAAGCCTTTGAATAATTTATAATCCAGGAAGCAAAACAAATGCAGATCGTTCTGCGCTCAGTACACCTTTCAGCTTACATTGTGTTAGGATATATAATGCATTTTTAAAAATGTTCTTGTTAGAAACAAAGCCGAATTGATTAGACATATCTGGTCTTAGTCTTAGACTTTTCTCTCTTTCTTCCAATTAGTATTCGCAGCAAAACTTTTGTAAACCAAGTAATGTTCGTCGTTCAATGCATCTCTCACTCAGGGGCACATGATTTTTAGGGTAAAGCTTTGAAAAACAAACTTAAACCTATTTTCTTCAGGAATTCAACCGTGTCATAATACTATATAGAATGTATGGGCATTTTATATTTTGGCGTCTAATTCTTCTAGTGTGACAATCACTTCCACTGGGATATTATCTGACCTTGTGACTTTTATTGTTTCTTTTTCTTAGGGGTAGCTTATACTTCTGCCATTAGTTTTACTAATCCATTTCTTTCAGTTTCTGCTACTGGTTAAAAAACAACATTGTCCATTAAAAACCTCCTCATAGAGTATCCGTTTATCTCCCTTACATTCTCTATTTCGTAATTCATGTATTTACTGTCTTCTCTATTTGCTGACGTTCATCATTCATCTATGTTTCGGTTGCTTCCTTCCATTTCTTTTCTTTGTGTCCCTATTTAAAGTGTTATACTTTTCCTCATTTGATTTTTCCAACCTTCTCTCTTTCATTAGTTTTATTATCTCGTATGTACCAAACATCATAAACTATTTCAAATTCCCAAATGTCGAGCTGTGAACCGAACTTGTAACTCAGTAATTATTGATCCAAAACCAATCTATCAAAAAGGGGAGATCATTAGCAATCCCAGAAAGCCATATTAATTAACAAGAATTCGTGTGTGTTATCTAGTACTGGCATCAGTCGGAAAAACGGAAATTTATTCCCCTGAGAGTTTCACTCTCGAGGTTAATCAAAAGCGAACGCCGACGTTGACATACCTAATAGGGTTTCAAAAGCTAAGAAACCTCCCCCCCCCCCTGAAACTGAAACATGAACAGCGAAGCGGTACTAATGAGAACTGTCCGGAAACCAATGCCCAACGCAGTGAGTAATGTCGGACACTGTGCAACGACTGGTTATAAACGCGACAAAATGCTGAAGGTTGGGGATCTTTATCACCGAAAAGAGGTGTCAAATATATTCGGCAATGTACTGGTGCTCAGATAAGATAGAATGTACTTTATTGATGATGTTCTTTCCTAATTCTCCACTGGCTCATGGTTCCTTTTTCAGTTGCGTCTGTTTATCATTTCTACCTCTATTTCTTCCACAATTTTGAAATAAATTGTTTAGCCTCACTGTTGAGTGCCCACTACGCGAGGGAAGATAAACGTTGGTACGACAGCGAATGATAAACAGACGCAACTGAAAAAGGAACCTTGTGCCTTGAACAAGACAGCCACTCAATTTGAAAGGAGAACCACAATAGCCTTATAGCATTTACTCAGTACAAGTTAGGGATGGACACCAAAGAGTAAGTATGTGCAAAAAGAAATGATAATATGCAATTACGGAACATAAAGATGTAGGTATTTCCTTGTTTAGCTTTTATAGACAGTTTCCACCCTTCTCGTCCCACCCTTAATTTCTTTGATGACAAGAAACTAGAAACAGTCTGAAGATACGAAAGAAAGATTTATCTGCAAGTCCATGGGCCTAGAAAGTAGCGCTCGAAAAGACACGAAGGGACATATAAAAGTGAAGAACATCAATCATTTTCTAGCACTTATTGCAACCGGCATTTCTAGAGCAAACTTGCCCAATTTGATATAGGTGCCATTATCACATCTGTGCAAAATACAGACTAGTGCTTCACTTGTCCACTCTGGCAAGCAAACACTTCTTCCAAAAATTAATATAAACAAATAAAGTATATTTTTCGAAGTGTGAATGTTACTGCCCGATGGCATGGGGCCCTACAAAGTAGGAAAAACAGGTCATATAGGAAAAAACAATTTGCTCTGCGGGTTGACGATCTACCAGTCGACAACCCCTGAGATCTAACAGACCAGCGTCTTTGATGCAGCAGTTAGAGTCATCGCTGTTACACACAGGAGACACGAATTCGATTCCTGATTGGGAGAAGAATTCTATCGAGTATACCATTCTTTCTGCTGGGATGTTATATCCCTCCCAGCCCGAGTTGACTCTGATAGGCAGGGTTGGCTTCAGAGCCCGCCTCCTAAATGACGTAATCGGTGGGAGCGTAAAACACAAACATCAAAAAGAACTTGAGATGGAACTAAGGAAGGAGAAACGAACCAAAACAGACGACAAAACAAAGAAATAACTTTCCTCACCTAATAGAAGCAACAAACGCCTCAGCTCCTGCTAGTTAGCTCCATGCCCAGATTGTCGCTGCATGGCCAGGCCGCGCTGTCTCTGTATGTCCACCAGTGTCCCCTCTAGGCGCTACCGTTCCTCACTTTCCACCCTGTTTGAGGGCGAGTGAAAAATACGCGATAGGCGATTGGCTGAGCGTGCGAGTGAATGCGCGTGTGTGCCGCTCCACTGTCGAGCGTCCAAGCTTACGCGAAGGCCAATTGATGGAAGAGAGATTTCCTTACAGAAAAATAAGGAGCAGATGGAGAAAAAATGTGAAAGGAATAAAGAAAACAAGACAAAGCAGGTGTTGGTTTGGTGTGTGTGTGTATTTGTGTGTTTTATGGGTCTGTGTGTTGGTAGTGGGGAGTCGAGAGATCGGGTTAGGGGAATAAATAGTTATTTCAGCCTTACTTAGTACAGATTGCAAAAGTTCCTGTCGGTGGACACGTGTGAAAAGTCATGTTAGCAATGCTGGTGAGGACAATGTGTTTGGTCGCAGAAGCGCTATGCGTAAAGCTGTTTGAGGTTGTTATATTTGTCCTGCGTCTCATTTCTGGCGCCATGATAATGATCTTATTCATAACTTACCGTGATCGTGAAATTAGTCGCAATATACTATTGATGTTGGTCGTACCAAATTCTAAAGCTTAGAGGACTCGAAATCGTGATGTCGCGAGTTCAGGTGTTTGAGGCTCTTCTTGGTTCGACATTGTGTCCTTGGAAAAGGAGCTTTATACGATGTTTCCAATTTCGTTCAGTCCTATTGGAGATTGTTTTTGAATTTGGAGGTCCTACTTTTTAAATAATCTTACAGTGTTGCAAGGGGAGGGGGGTGGGGGGCGTTAGGGAGCGTTACACCAAAACATTTTTGCACGCTTTCAGGCACAATTGATATTGGTAGAGACCATGGCGATAGGGAACTGGCCGGGATTGTTATACTGTGGCTTGATAGGGACAGTGATGATGGTTGTGCTTGTGGCAGTTTTCGGCTGTAGTGATTGTGATATTCAAATTATATATGCCATACAGTTTCATATATTAATGCTTATACATTACATGTGCTCGTTAGTTTTTTGTTTAATAATAAAAGACACTGGTCTTGAGTAGAGCACGAATCGATTCGGGCACGAACTGTATTAAATTTTTAACATAATAATAATTGTCTGTGATTTTATATCAAATGCCACAGAGAGTTGCAAACAAAGCGTCTGGACTGGGAGCAATGCTGCGTATCTTACGCTGCTATTTCATGGCCTTGACATATCTGTAAGATTCACATCTGGACTAATTACTGATGACCACTTCGCGTTAGTATGCTTTCTAAGGTTTGACAAAAGATATTGGCCCTGTGAGAAGGTGCTTTGCCATGCCTACTTGAATGACACCAAGGCGAAAATAGTGATACGACGTGACATTCCAGCATCTGTGCGATGTTGTCATAAAAACGAAGCTATCTATTGATTCTCACAAGTGGGAATCTGTTTATTCCCACCAGCCACCACAACTCATGGCAGTTTTGTGTCCTCTGCTCCTCAGTGAAAGATGTCCAAAATCTAAGAGAAAAAAAGGGCTGGTGTTCTACACGAAACCAGAGGCTCGTAAACAAAATACTATTGAGCACATTTAACTTTAAGTCCAAGTTTTGCAAGGTATTTGTGACGGCTCTCTGTTTTCCAATCTGTCTGAAAACAATATCGTAATATAGCATTGTTCACCGCTGAGACAACAATATTCTCCAGTCATTTGAATTTTAATACGTGTCCATTCCAACAATATTTGTGCTCCCCAATACAAGCGCGAAAATAATAGAAGGTGAGATATTTGCGATTGAAGGAGATGGCGGTCGTCTGATTTCAAAAGTAGAATTAGAGAGAAACTGGCTGCTAAGGTTTGGTGACTTTCAAAGCTTGATGTTTGAAATATAAATGATGCTTTCTGTTTAGTTTAAACACATGCATATAAAACGTTGGCGTTTTTTTCTGGCACTTATTTTGTTATCAATATTTAGGAGAATGATTAAGTTTGTAACACAATGAAAACCTTAGCACACAAAGCAGTTTTCAAATTAAAATAGATATTTTTTTGAATCAGTAGTCTCTTTTAGGTGGCGGAAACGTCCACCCATATAAGGAATTTAGAATGTTTAAGACGTGTTTCTCCTCTTCTACTTTTGCTCTATCTTGTGTACATTTTAATTAAAGTAAAGACGATAAAATTATCTTGGCAAATATTCCTTCATTTCCATGGGTGAACAACACACTAGAGAGGTTTTAAATCCACATCAATTTTTTTTCTTAGACGAGGTTATTAGAGCCCGGACATTAATATTTATGAAACAAATTTCAAGGAATACCCAGTGGGAAATGAAAGCTAATGCACCTTCGCAAACAGAGATAAAAGATGTGTAACTAACGAATAACTCTTCTTCAAAATTTAGTTGTGAAAGACAGCAACTAACTGTTTTGTCTCTTCTGTGCTGCTTCCACTATTCTCAAAGTTGCAGATGTTGTTGTTCTTGTTGCTCTTGTTGATGGAGTTGTTGACGATATTTTCATTGTTGTTGTTATAATGAAAGTTAACTTTGACTATATGGTATCTGTTAACTTGTTGGCGCTAATAATACTTATTTTGATTCTTTACTTTTTTAAAGATGTAATTTTATTCAGAGTTCAACCTCTTGTTAAAACGCTAACAGGCTATTTGGAAGCTGGAAAATCTTCGAAGGCTGAATTTCCGAACAACGGGTAATAAAGAAAAAGGCCACTGGTAATCTGCTGAAGACAGATCAGGAGATGATTATTTAACGAGGTATTTTTGTTTGTCTGGCTTACATCTCTCTATTGATTTTGGTTTTTGTATCTCGGGAAAAAAGCACCATAACTCGACAATTTGAGAAATTTGAGTTACAATAATACGTGCATTAGATTCAAAGAATAATGCAGAGGCTATCCATAAAGTGTAACACAAGACCAAATTTTTTTCCCAAGAAAACGTATACTGTTGCCGGTCGACATAATAATGGTAAGGTTATCTCTTCTTTTTACAGGGATAGTCACGGGGACCATACATCTGAAAGTCATCTCGTAAATTGCTTGACATTGTTTGCGAGTCAGAGCGAGTTTAAAACTCACCCACTGGAGCCATCGAAGACAACTGGGAATAGTATACACCAGCGTGTAAAGTGTTTGTGAATGTAAATGTGTAAATGTGGAACTTCATCGTTAAGAGGATTGCGCCTCTTTTTACTGTGTAGTAGACCTAATTACGAGTAGTTATTGCGTCATGACGGCCTGGAGAAACCCCATCTTGTGACGAGTTGAAAATGTCCTCTTTTGTATGTAATGGAACATTATGATTTAGCTGAAAGCACCTAGATCTACGTTCACTTGTCTTTTATTGGGTAATTGCTGGTGTTATCATTGTTGTCGTCTTCGTCATTATGATAAACCAAGTGAAAATGTTCGATTACTAGACACCTCCTTTGCTCTTGGTTACCAAACGCACTATTCTCACCTCCTTGCCGAGCAGACTTGTAAACAAACAAGAAGAGTGAATGTTCAAACAACTCAAGAAACGGATGACATATTGGAGGAAAAATATAGTTTTTTTCTACTGCTTTTCAGCGCACCACTAACAGACACGTGTGTAATATCAGCGGAAACAACATTGATATATAGATGGGACATAATCGGATTAGCCGAAACACGGAGACAGGATTTGGAGAAACCAATTCTGATGAGGAACACGAGAGCTGGTACTCAGAGAGGGAACCTCATGGAAGGGGAGTCGGATTCATAGCCTGTAAGAACATCGCGTAATCAGTGATGGAATTCGATACTATTTATTATCTGAGAGGCTGGCCGGGACAAACTAAGCCACCATAAATCAACATTTCTGTCATACAAGCACATGCCGTGTCAACAATATAAAACGGAGATGACGTTAAGGTCTGGTATGGTAGCTTACGGGATGCCAGAGATGGATAATAAACCAGGACACAAAGAGAAGAATGGAAATGGCTGAAATATGGTATTCAAAACGAATACTAAGAATCTCAGGGACCGAGAGGAAAACAAATAGAGAAGTGCTTTAAATTCTAAATGGTAGGTTGTGGACGATCTATAATCTAAACCATCAGAAAAAAACAAGTGAAATTCTTTGGCTATTATAATAGATCAAATGGAAAAGAGAAACTGCCGCTGTATGGAAAGATAGAGGGAAAGAAGAGCAGAAGAAGACAAAGAAGAACATATACAGATAGTATTAAAAACTGTGCAAAAAATAGTACAATGAGAAAAAAAACTTCTGATCAAGAAGATAGACAACGGGTAGTGATGTGGTGCCATGATCGTCAAAGTCTGCTCCAGACCTGACACTCGAAGACGGAGATGCTAGCTTACAAATCTGCATAAGTTAGACCACACAGAATGACATTCAGATTATGCACAGCAACTTCAGGGCAAGAAAAGGACACACGGCATGGGATCCTTGTGTGTTCTTATGATCTTATTATACAGTTCCGAGCGGAGTAAAACTTTTTAAAAGAAAAAAAAAGAATTCTGTAGATGGCAAAATATCCTTTTCCTGCACCAAACCCAGACTCGATGTGCTTCTTGTAGGAAATGACTCCACCAAATGGATACAACCCATTTACAATGTTTTAATTCTAATAATGGCCATGCCAAGGTCATTTCCATGTGCTGGTAGAATGCGTCATCAATATTTTTCATGACAACGTTGAGTGCAAGACTTAACAAAGTAGAAAGAAAACACAACCCACGAATCATATACAATATGAAGCGATTACCGAAAGACCAAATGTCTAAACACAAAGTGAAAGGACAATCGAAAGAACATGTCTGATACTATTATCACTGGAAGAAGAAGAAGTATCTAACTGAACGCATAATGCTGAAGCAAATAATGTACGGGAGAAAGTTCTGAGGGAAAGCGGAAAGCCGAGAACAAATAAATCACGATTTAGGTATGGCTCCTGTGTGACATACGTGAAAATAAAAACAGAGCAAATACATAGACGAAAGGACAAGATTATAGCAGACCATATTTTTTGTAAGTGTTTACGGTGCTTACAACTGCTTAAGGTCATATGAGTGAGCGAGCGGGACACATATAAAATGTTCAATGGGTAGAAATTTTGAATGTTGTCCTGTTGGCGACCGAAGCCTACTCTAATCGATTTTGTACCACTATGAGAACTTTAACGTGCGCAACTTGCAAGCAGGACCTCTGAGATTTCCCCCCCATGTCCGAGAAGGCCAGGTGTAAATGTTTCTTACCATGAGATCAGGGATGAGGGTGAAAGACAGCAGTAAGAAGGAGTCAAGGAGTAGCAGTAGAAAGGCTGCAGAAAGAGTCAGGTGCCCAGAGGAGGGAACAAAGGATGTGAGGGGGTGGGGGCAGAAGATGGAGACGAAATTAGACGATCTAGAACATTGCTAAAGAGCAGGGAAGGATGTGAAAGGAGACAATTTTAGAGAAGAAAATTTTCCGTCGCTATCCGGATTCGAACCCCGGACCTGTTGAAGGAGAGGCGAACACCATAATCTCTAGACCACGAGAGCCCCCGTATATATATATATATATATATATATATATATATATATATATATATATATATATATATATATATATATAAATATATATAAATATATATATATACACACATATATATACACACATATCTATCTATCTATCTATCTATCTATCTATCTCTCTCTCTATCAATCTATCTATCTATCTATCTATCTATCTATCTATCTATCTATCTATCTATCTATCTATCTATCTATCTATCTATCTATCTATCTATACACTCCCCTCAATACAATCAGAAAGTAAAGAACTGCGAAAACATCACCATTAAAAGTAAAACTAATCTGCTAGAGGCGGTGCGCTTTTCCCTTTCGTCAACCCGCAGCCACTTCCCGAATCGTCAGCCACATACCAACCTTTGACATGGGTCAAACTTCCATCTATTTATAGGTAGTTACAGGAACATGTATAGGTGAAGTGATGTGCCGTGATAGTCGCGATATATTATTTATTGAGATTGTTTTGGTCTCTCTTTACTCATCACCACGAGAATTTCTTGAAGTTTTTCCCTTGACTCTGCCTTTACTAAAATCTCGAATCTAGATCTAGATCTAGAGTTGTAATCTAGTGGCAGGTTGCAGATTTCTGTTATCCAGTACATTCAAGAGATTAAATAAATTGGGCTTGACTCTAGACTCTAGTAGTAGACTCTTCTACTTCTACTTCTAAACCTTCGAGATTACAAAGGCCAAGCCTAGGCTTGTAAGGATTCGTTTTGTTAAAACTGTTGTTTAACACAAAGTCTAAGAAGTTAGCAAACCTAACACATTTTTGTCTAACGAAATGAAGCTTAAATTGATTTTTATATTGTCAATAAGAGATCAAGTTTAATCACCTAATCATTTAAGTAAGGAAGTGGCTATCCTCACCCGGGGTGAGAATAAAAACCCTACGATTGACCTCTCACCCCGGGTGAGACTTGCCATCTTTGGCTATTCTCACCCAGTGTGAAACAAGACCTGTTTTTCCTAATTTCAAAATACTGTCTATCGGTGTGGATGATCAAATTGACAAAAGCAAAGAAAAAAATTACGTTATAGCACAAAAGTAAGCTAATTTGATCGTCTACAAAGATGCTATGGCGCTTTCACTTTTCAAATCGAGCCGAACTACGCGGGTCGTCATTTTATTTTGCCCGGAAGTTCTCGCAAGATCTACTCCTCCCCCTTCTCTCTCTCTCTCTCTCTCTCTGTCGGCAATTTATTAAATCTTTAACCTGCAACTAGATTACAACTAGATCTAGATTCGAGACTTTAGTAAAGGCAGATTCCAGGGAAAAACATCAATTAAATTCGTGAGGTGCAGATGGGTAAAGAGAGACCAAAACAATCTCTCTGTTGCGAATATCATTGCACAACACTTCGCCTAACACATGTTCCGGTAGATTTAACTACCTATAAATAGATAGAAGTGTGACCCGTGTCAAAGGTTGGGAGGTGGCTGACGATTCGGGAGGTCGCTGCGGGTTGACGAAAGTGAAAAACGCAGAGGCGCTCAAAAGATATACCATTCTAATGCTCTATAAATGACAGTTAAGTTCAACAAAAATTTATGATTTCAACGAAAACGTTTTTTTGCTGACGCTTAATGAAATAAAGGAAAACACCAAACGTTTGGCCTTGTCAAAAAGCCCAGGTCTCTGATTAATAACAGAGTTATTATCACCACCCAAGGCGCCACAGGCAATTACTGACGCCCGTGATACAATCTTCACATAACATGGAGCAAAGTGGTCTGATGTGTGGCAGTTAGGCACTTCGCCTAGTTCGATTTCTGAGTGGGGAGACATTTTTATTGAGTATCTCGGTCTTTCAATCTGATGGATTGCTGTAGCCTTCTTAGGCTGGGTGGACCCCAAAGAAGCAGACTCGGAAGCCCGCTTCCTAAATGATTTAGTTTGCATCGACGGAGCCGTAATGACAAATTCAATTTTTTTTAAAAGATAACGGAGAGGCATGGTGCAATGACGTTTCCTTTTTCACCCGTTCTACGTGACGTTGGTTGCTAAGGTAATAGATAATAATAAACAGGAGCTGCATGGTCATTCACATTATGGTTTCAACCCCTTTTACCAGATAGTAAGGTTTTTTAAAAGGCGAAACATCCTAATTTTATG